TTGTGCTTTTCTTTCAAAAAGGTTCTTTATAATGGATATTGCTGACCAAGTTCATTTTCATGATTGCTTTACCACCTCTTTCAATAATGTAGATATAAATATTTGGCATATTAGACTAGGGCATATTAATCAAAATAGAATGATTAAGCTAGCTAAAGAAGGAATGCTAGGTCCAATTACAAATATGGAAATGCCCTTATGTGAAAATTATCTAGCTGGTAAAGCAATGAGAAAATCTTTTGGTAAAGGTATTAGGGCTAAAAATCCATTACAATTAATCCATTCTATATATGTGGTCCTATGAGTATAAAGGCAAAACACGGGACTTTGTATTTCATTGCCTTTATCAATGATTTTTTACGTTTTAGTCATGTTTATTTGATATCATGAAAGTTTGAAGCTCTTGAATGCTTTAAACGATACATTAATGAGGTTGAAAATGAAATGGACAATAAAATTAAAGCATTATGAATTGACCGAGGACGTGAATACTTGTCTGATCAATTTAAAGAACTCTGTGAAGAAAAAGGAATAATTAGACAACCAACTATTGTTGGCACTCCGCAACAAAATGAAGTTGCTGAAAGAAGAAATAGGACTCTTCTAGACATGGTTAGGTTAATGATGGCACAAGCAAATCTTCCAATCTCGTATTGGGAGGACGCTTTACTGATAGTAGCCTTCATACTTAATTGTGTACCCTCAAAATTAGTTACTTCCATACCCTATGAGTTATGGACAAAACGCAAACCGGATTTAAATATCTTAAGACCATAGGGGTCAGCTGCATATGCCCATGATGATTCCCATAAATATAGAAAGTTAGGTCTAAGAGAAAGAAATGTATCTTTATAAGATACTCTGAGCAATCAAAGGGTTATATTTTCATTGGTGAAAATGATGATGGAACTGTAACTGAATTTGAATCTAGGAATATCACATTTTTAGAAAATGAGTTTTCTAACAGGGGAGAAATTGATCGAACTATATCTCTTTACGAGACACGAGAGCAACATAATATAGAACTCATAGAAAGGCTTGAATCATCGCAAAATACTGATTTAAGAGGAAGCTCTAAAAGGTCTTTTAGAAGACTTAAAAAGAATTAAAATCCACAAGAGACCCCATTTCAAAACAGTAATAGAGAAAGTATGCCAAAAAGATGCTTCCAAATTGAGGGTGAAGCATTGGTGGTAACTCTTCTAGATGATGATGAGCCACGTTCTATAAATGAAGCTTTATCAGGACTTGCTAAGGATAAGTGGAAGAAAGCAATGGATGAAGAAATGAATTCCATGAGGACTAACAAAGTATAGAAATTAGTTGATTTACCACATGGTCGAAAGGCTATTAGGAACAAGTAGGTTCTGAAAATCAAAAGAAAAGTAGATGAATCAATTGATAAATATAAGGCTTGCTTAGTAGCAAAAGGGTATACACAACAAGAGAGAATAGATTATGAGGATACATTTTCTCTTGTTGTATGCTTCAATTCTATTAGACTGATTCTGGCAATAGTAAATAGTCTGAACTTAGAGTTGTACCAAATGGATGTAAAGATTGCTTTTCTTAATAGTGATCTAGATGAAGAAATTTATATGCAACAGCCATTAGGTTTTATTGAAAAAAAAGAAAATAAAGTATGTAAATTAAATAGATCAATTTATGGACTAAAACAATCATCCAAATAGTGGTATTTGAGGTTTCACAGAGTAATAACCTCATATGACTTCTAAATGATTGAGGAAGACCACTATGTTTACATCAAGAGGTTCAATGGAAACTTTATAATATTATCTCTTTATGTGGATGATATTTTACTAGCCAGAAATAGTCTAGATTCGATAGTCGCTATTAAAGAATGGCTTTTGTTGAATTTTAAAATGAAAGACATGAGTGAAGCAGAATATATTCTTGGAGTTAAAATCCAAATAAATCACTCTAAGAAGCTTCTTTATCTATCACAAGAGAATTATATAAGGAAAATTCTTGAGCGTTTTAATGTGAAAGATTGTAAACCCATGGATAACCCAGTGGCTTCAAGTGTGAAGCTTAGTCCTGATATGGGTCCTAAAACTGAGATAACCAAAAGGAAAATGGAAAGAGTTCCATATGCCAGTACAATCAGAAGTTTGATGTATGCAATGATGTATACAAGACCAGATATCTATTATGCCATAGGACTTGTGAGTCACTACCAATCCAACCCTAGAGAAGGATATTGAAAAGCTATAAAGCGGATCTTAAGATACTTAAAAGGTATTATTGACTATGCACTGTGTTATCAAGGGAGTGATCTACGCCTAATAGGATACTCTGACAAGGATTTAAGCGAAGATGAAGATGAACGAAGATCAACTTCAGGCTACACTTTCTTGCTAAACAATGGGCCATTTGTTAGAGCAGCAAGAAGTTGACATGCATTGCCCTACACTCTATGGAAGCTAAGTTTGTAGCATGTATTGCAACAGTGCAAGAGGCTATATGGCTTAAGAGATTTATAGAACATCTTGGGTTTGAAAATGAAAGTATAAATCCAGTATTAATTAATTGTGACAATACTGCAGCCATAGCCTATACCAAAGATCCTAAATATCATAGCAAAACAAACACATAGACATTAAGTATAATTTTGTAAAGGATTAAATAGCGCAAAAGGTTATCACTGTTCAATACATTTCCATGAAATGTATGATAGCAGATCCCCTAACAAAACCCATAGCCAAGGAGATATTTGAGAAATATGTAAGGGCTCTTAGTATGGCTAGATTGACTTGATGTAGTATATTAGTTATATTAATGAGATTTTTCATTACTTACATAAATGTACAATTAAGAACATACAATGTCTAGTATGTTGTACAGGTTGATAAGGTTGACTCTCTCACACGAGCAACTACCTTTGATATTGAAATCAAAGATGAGACATTAGTGTTCACCAGCAAGGCACCAAAAAAAAGTTTGATATGGTAGAAAAGAAACACAAATCATATGTCACCTCGATTAAAGAGCAAGTCAAGATGAGATCTGTAAGCATACTTAGATCGAATCATGGATCCCCATATCCATAATACTTGTAGCCAAACGACAAATTCTTTTAAATTAACATCATGTGAGATCAATAGAAAAGAAGAATTTAGGTTTAGATACAATGAATATCTAAACTTATGTTTGTATAGTGCTAATAATAAATGAAAACGATGTACACTCTTATAAGCAAGACTAACACCATAACATGTGTTTCATACCACTTGTGCTTAAGAATTGCAATGGGAAGCAAGTGAATAAATCCTTGCTTCATTACTGTATGAGTCTTAGAAAGGAAAAATCCTTTCATTGATGTCCTTTGACTTTGACATTATCATGGAGATATGTTACAGTGTCTGCTACTTTAACATGCACCCTATGGTCATGATCGATGTGACCTAAAGGTTTCATGTTAGGAAAGCGACTGTTTCCTATCAAAGTGGTATATGGGCAAAAGGAAGATTATCTTAAATATACACATCTATGCTCATTTTCAAGACATGTCCCTTATAAAATAATTTGTGAATTCATAAGTGTGGATACTACGCATATAAGAGAAACTATCTGAGTCTTGGACTGACTTAAGAGGGATCAGATTAGTCATAATGAGAAAAAGTGTATATTGGTAAATCTAGGGCATTAAGGCACGAATTTAATCAAGAATAAATTCAACTTTAAGAGTTATTTATGCTGGTCCTTAATAGGATTTTCTAGTATAAATAACTAAAATGAAGATGTCAAGCCTATGCAGTCACGGCAAAACACCTAGTATGAAGAGAGGAAAGAGAAAGAGATAGAACTGACATTATCTTATCCACTAAGTGTGAGTGGGAGATGTTGGGTTATCCACCCTTGGTAGAGCAGGCCCATATAAAAGCCCAAAATTGGGGAATGAGGCTCTTATGAGAATTATGAAAAATGTTTGGGTTCAAAATACGATTTACTCAGGGCCTTAAAATGTAATATTCTCCAACCTTTGAATTTGAAACATGGGCGATTAGAAAAACTGTCGCACGTTCCCACAAGAGATGGTTATAGTGTGATTTCAATCAGTAGAGATTTTGGTTCTCTGCGTGAAGAAAGAAACAGAATGCTCTTGATTTTCATCCATCTCATTTTTTTCTCCTTACAAGCTTTTTCTCTCTCTGAGTGCGTTTGTTGTGTACCTGAACGAAGTTCGACTGGTGTAACTTTGTTCCCGCATACGTACATGTGAATTAACACCTCAAGGTATGTTTTTCCTCCTCTGTTTTCTTTCAGCTACTAACCTGAAGATCCAAAATATATACGCCAAGTAAAAGAGGATGGAAATTAAGAATTAAATTGTGTTAGAAATGAGAAGCAGTCATCTGAAAACGGGAAATGATCAAAGAGTATTATAAGGATATTATATCTCAACTTTAAAATCTCAAAGCTTAAGTTTATGAGTTCTTATTCCTTTTATTTTATATTAATTATTAAGTTTAATTTTATTTGATGTAAGACTTTCTACATCAACTCAAGTCTACTTACAATAACAATTACAAACAACAAAATCAAGACTATAAATTGTTAGGTCAAACCTTTCAAAAGTATCAAGGGTAGGATTTCCACTTCTGGAATACATGTATTTTCCACCTTTTGTTGCAGAAGGCTGCATGAAAAAATATATAGAGGACAAGCACAATATGAAAAGAATACCACGGAATACAGAAATTAAATACATAATTACTAATTAAAAAGAGCTCAACATGTACAGATAAAATTTTTCACGTACCATTTTGAAGGAAGCAGTTTGATAAATTGGTGTAGAGGTTGCTTTATATGGATCAAAGTCATTATGGTAACTCACAACCACTGTTGACATACTTGGCTTACTTGTCTGTTTATCTGCAAATAGAAGCTAAAATTATTGAGCTATAAGAAATAAAAATCATGCATAATAGTGTGTGTGTGTGTGTGTGTATGAATACATATATATACTATATATATTCATATATTTAAGACGAAGTTTGAAAGTTTTTTTCAGCCCTTCCATAGCAGTCATACTAATCTTTTCTATTTTGTTCCAATTTTATCAGATTTTCTCCTGAAGGAAAACAAAGAAAGGTATAAAATTGAAAAGATACAATTTTCTATTTTTAGGTTATAACTAATATATTTATAAACATAAAGTTTGTTGTAACTTCGTCTTATGTTAAGCATCGAGTATATCAAAACAAGAAACGCGTCACAAACCACTAGTCGCAATAACCGCATTAGTGCTCTCTGTAGTGCTCTCTTTACTCTCCACCACAGTCACTGTTTTGGTCTCATTCAGCTTTTCTGTTTGCATCAAATTACAATTTACTCTGAACCGCTTTGCTTGGATCGGTTGGTTCAGCTTCAAATTAGCCGACTTAGTAAATCCCAAGCTCTCCACGTATTTCCAGCATATGTGCTCTAAAACACAATAATGAGTGACATAAGCATTACAAAATCAGGCTAAATAACAAGAACAAAGTTTGCATTTTGGGTAAAGATGCTTGCAAAAGTGTTTGAAACAATGATAGTTGTCACCTTAATAGTAGGGCCGAGAAAAGTTGTAGCCAATGCCATCACCGAAGATAAAGAAAGAAAGAAATAGCTAGGTTTCGCTTATGCCCTTCGTTATAGTCTCACAATATGATTTAGAAACTAAACCCCCCCCCCCCCACACACACACACACACACACATTTACATTGAAAAAGAGTGTTTTTGGTTTTTTTTTTTTAATTTCTTTAACCGTTTCCAGTGATTTTGGTGCCTCTCGAAAGGACCACAATTTCATTAATGACTACGTTATCTTTATGTTTCGGTGCTTTTCAAAAGGACAACAATATTTCAATAAAATACATTATCTTTAAATGCGTTTTTCAAAGCACAATAAATCCAGAACGATTATTACCGTATCTTCATGTGAGGGACAACTTGCTTTACAACTGGACACCGGACACCGGACACCGGTGCAAGAGAAATCACTCCAATTTAATTTATAAATTATTTTTAATATATTTTATTATAATTAAAAAAATTTAAATTTCATTAATTTTGTCTTGAAATTTAATAAATTTTTATTTTTATTTTTAATAAATATTCTTCAATCTCATTATTAATATTTTTATTTAAAAGTATTTAATAAAGGTAAAAATATAAAGAATAGCATTGAAAATTGACAAATGTCTTATAAATAGAATTAAACTTTTTTTCTCTCTATCTTATAAGTAAGACCAAATGAGTATAAAGAAACATGAAAAATATAAAAAGTAAATCAATGATTTTCTAATATATATTCCTATATCCTCAATGAGTCGATGGTTTTACATGTTGTACCATAATTTAAGATATTTTTTTTAGTTATGAAATTGTAACTCTTGGGTAGGTTAGAAGTCTATAAATAAAGACTAAACACATGATTGGTTGTACACTAAAATTTAAATGAATAAGAATCATCCCTCCTTTACTTTCCAATTCTCTCTATTGTTCATCTCCATTTTTTGATATTCTTTTATCTTGTTCGTTTTTCTCATCTTAAATATCTTGCATATTTCCTTATACTTTTATAAGAATAACAGCTTTATTATTTTTTATTTTTCTACGACTATTGAAAAGTTTTTTTAATAAACTATTGAAAAGGTTATTGACTCATATTGCAAACTCATAAAAATTTATGTTGTTAATAAATTATCATTTAAATATATGGGCATGATATAACATTAGTTTATTGAAATATATCCATAATTTAAGATATTTAATCGGTATTAATTTTTTTTATAAAGGTCTATTTTTATAATTTTCTAGGTCATTTTTTATAATTTTTTAACTCATTGTTTATAATTTTTTGGGTTAGTTAATAGTCAAATTAACAAATATTTAACATAGGGGCAATATCCTTCCTTAAAAATTTCTTTTAAGAGAGATATTGCCCCATACCCATTACTATAAGATGCTCAATGTTTTTTAAAAAAAAGTTTAATAGTAAATTAAGTCTTTAATCTTTTTTTTAAAATATTTCAATTTGACCTCTGATAATCTTTTTTGTCAACTCTCATTTAAAGGTAAGGATAAAAGGACTAATAAATTGAAATTATTTTTAATAGAAAATGACCAAATGCCTCTCACTAATTAACCAAAAACAAAAAAAAAAAGCCACCAACCAACCATCATCCTTGTAGCACCACCATCAACAATCAAAGCCCCGTCATCGTTATTGTCATCATTACCAATCACATTGGACCTCCGTTGTCAAAGTGATACTGACAACTACCATGCATATCATCATCTCAAGGGCAATCAGAGAATTAATTCTGTAAGGTGGTCAATGGGGGTTTGAGTCCATGACCTTTTGGCTCACAAAAAAAGGTAATAACTACCAAGCCATTAATTGTATCTATCTAATCATATAATGCATGAAATTATTTATGTAATACATGCAAGAAAGTATATATGTAATACACCTTATTTTCAAGCCTCTTACTTATTGTAAGAAGAAGTGAACTTGTTAAAAGCCTAAATATAGAACTTGTCATTTGTTAAATTTTATTTGTTCATTTGTCAAGGTAAATTGTAAATTAAAATGTTTGAAAATTCATATATTGATGAGTTCCTCTTTGTAAATTGATAATTAAATGTTAGTAAAATGACATGTTAACATAGCTTTGCTATGAATTTTAATTTCAAATATCCTAATTAGCATGAAGATGGCTTGTTAAAATTCTAACTTCACTTGTCATATAGTAATGCTTATATACTTGTCAATTTATTAAAGGGAATTTGTTTATTGCAATGCCTTCTGTATATTCAATATTTTTGACTTGTTACAATATTATAAGACATTTTTTATAGTATCATGTTAAAAAGAATATGAGGTATTTTGGGACTTTCAAGGTGTAATTAATAATGTTTTTTCAAAAATATTCTTAATTAGGAGTGTAATAATTGGTAAGGTTTCCTAATGAAAACACCCTATTCCCTCCTTTTCAATATACTCTTTCTGATTTTATTTATAAGTTACTTCTAACTTATTTTACTAAAATCAAAAAAATCATTAAAAATTAACTTTAACTTAAATTTTAATAAGTTTCTACCTCTGCCATTAATGGATAGGAAGAATTATTTTTAGTAAAAATTTTATAGCAATGATGGTAAAAAGGTAAAGATAAATTTTCTCTTTCTGTCCTATAAATAAAATCAAAGAAATATAAGAAAAACTATTACTTGTTTTTTTATAAACAAAATCACAAATCTCAATAGGCATTTATTATTACTTTTCTAAACTATCTTTTGATAAGCTCATAATTTTTATTTATAAAAAATAATTAATGCAGTTTATTTTGATTAAATACAAGAGAATTTTAGTATTTTTTTTTATTTTCAAACATAGTTATTATACTTAACCAATTTTCTTAAATTGTGTGAGCATATTTATTTTCTCTTATATATAAAAATGAAGAGAATATTAAGTAATGATAAATGGTAAATATTGAAAGAGAGTGTAATTTTAAAGATATCTTATTAACTTATTGGAAGGTACAAATCAATTAAAAGCTCTTATAATATAATATTAAAGGAAGAATAATAGTTAGATCCCAAATAAATGAATTAATGACAGTTAAATCTCTGAAAAAGTTTTCTATAAAATAAATTATAAATAAAAATTTAAATAGTTATAAATAAAAATTTTTGTTACAATCTAAGAGTTACGTTTAATATTTAAGTACTTATTTACAATTAAAACTTCTAAATTTGTAACAATTAGATCCATATTTTCAACTTATTTTTAAAAAAATTTATTAAAAAGTTAACTATTATTAATTTATTTTTTTAAAATCTAACTATCATTCTTTCAAAATTAAACCCACAAAGTATTTATGTGCACCTTCTGGCCAAGCTAAGCCGACCAACTTCTTTAATTTCCTAATTTTTATCATATGACAGCTTAGGATCACGTGAAATTGGCGTGTCCGATTATCATTTGGATGCAAAAATCATCCTTCCGCATCCCTTGCGCCTTTCAATTATTGGTCCGTGTGGGGCTTACTGGTTGTAAGTAGTGGGCAACATTTAATTCTTTTTGTAAAGTAATCAATTAAATTTTATCAAATAATGTAAAATAAAAATTACTTATCTTTTAGATTGTCGTAACCAATTTAATTTTTTAGATTTTTGATAATACATAACTCTAAAATAAAGAAGAAATTATGGCATTCAAGATATTTTGAAGCAATAATTTTTTTAAAAATACTATTTGAAGTAGGTGATGAAAAACATTGTTACAGTTTTAAATTAGTTGATCAAATATATAGAATTATAGATTCGTTACATTATATTGGATAAATATTTTGTGTTAGTTCATTTTATAAATAGATATTTAGAATATTTTTAACTTGCTGTATAGCCATCGATTTTATTTACCTGGCTGTTTTTTACTTGCTGTACATAGACTGTTGAATTTACAAGTATAAGTTTTGAATATTGGAAAACAAGCATAATATTAAAAACAATATAAAATTTTGATTATATTATAACCAAGATAAAAGTATTTTCTACGTCAGTTATTAAAAAAATTTTAATAATTTATGTAAAAACTCCTTCCAATAGTATTGCTTGCATAAAAACACGAGTAGCATGCTTTAACTTTAAAATTATTTTTTTATAGAAATTTATATATTTTAATACAAACTTCATTTTCTTAATCTAATTTTAATAAGGCATAATGCTTTGTCATTTTTACAAAATTAAATGAGCGTGAATCTAGCTAGAAGAGAAGGCATATCTCAATCTTTTGCCTTCCAATATGCATAACTTATTTATAATCTTATCATATAGTGATCTTTTCAATTATCAACGACCATTTATCATGTTTTATCATTGGTTTTAAAACTGGACCAAACCAGATGGTCAAACCAGTTGGACCGTTAATAAAAATCTTGGTTTAAATAGAAAAATATTTCATAGTTGAGGCTTGGATTGTAGGGAAGATGTTGACAAATATAAGCACAAATGTAAATACTTTTGAATTTGCTCATACCTAAGTTAACCAAGATTCATACTTATTTGACAAGTTATAAAATTTTAATT